ACTAATTATAGATTTATAAAGCYTATATCTTAAAATTCTAAACCCTAAAAAATGTTTTGACACCTAAAACCCTCTAAACACTCAAAACTAAACCTTAATAGAACATAATTAACTCAAACATAAATAATATAAAAAAAAATAATTTTGAAAAAGTGGCATTTTTGTAAAGATTTCAAAAGTGTGACATTTTTGTAAAGTGGCACTTGAAAAGTGGCATTTTTTTAAATTTCTCTAAAAGCAAATAAAATTTGTAATTGAATGTTGACCATAACCATACTAAATTTGGTAAGAGACATGCGTTTTTTCTGGTCAACAATTTTACTAGAATATAGAAACAGATAATTAATTTTTTAATCTATTCAACAACATTTACTGAGTTAGCGATTAGTGCATGCATTTTTTAATCTATTAAACAACATCTACCAAAATCTCACTTAACATTTCAGTAAATAAAATCTATATTAAACTGCCATTGTTATATTTGACCAAAAAAAACAAAATTAAACTACCATTGTTATATATATATATACCACTAAAATTAGAACTCACAGTTTCACACAATACTCAAGTCTAATACCTCTAAATTCTTTTATTATCATATTTAATAATGGCAAGTAGTGAGGGTCAAGAAACACATGTTCTATTGGTATCACTACCATTCCAAGGTCACATCAATCCAATGCTCAAATTCGCCAAACATCTCTCACGACCGAACCTCCTCTTTACTCTCGCCACCACTGAGCAAGCCCGTGACCTCGTCTCTGCGGCCACCGCCTCCATCGAGGAACTCCATAACCCGGTGGACCTAGCTTTCTTCTCCGACGGTCTACCTAAAGACGACCCAAGAGCCCCTTCAACTCTCATAGAGTCATTGAGGAAAGTGGGAGCCACGAACTTGTCTAAACTCATCGAAGGAAAGAGATTTTCTTGCATCATCTCTGTACCTTTTGCTCCATGGGTTCCAGCTGTTGCATCAGCTCATAACATCCCTTGTGCCATCCTCTGGACCCAAGCTTGTGCGGTTTTCTCGATTTATTACCGTTACTACATGAAGACAAACTCTTTCCCCGATCTCGAAGACTTGAACCAAACAGTGCAACTACCAGCTTTACCATTATTGGAAGTCCGAGATCTCCCTTCGTTCTCTTACCTTGTTACGGAAGTCACTTCAATACCCTAATGGCAGAGTTCATAGATTCCTTGAAAGATGTGAAATGGGTTTTGGTCAATTCGTGTCACGAACTCGAATCAGAGATACTCGAATCGAGGTCGGATTTAAAACCTATTATTCCAATCGGTCCTCTGGTTTCTCCTTTCTTGTTGGGAGCTAACGAAGACGAAACCCTATCGGACAAGTATTGTATGGAATGGCTTGACAAGCAAGCTAGGTCATCGGTTGTTTACATATCTTTCGGAAGTCTAATCAAATCATCGCAGAATCAAGTCGAGAGTATAGCCACGGCTCTAAGAAACAGAGGAGTTTCATTTCTTTGGGTGATTTGGCCTAAAGAGAGAAGCGAAAACGTCGACGTTTTGCAGGAGATGGTCAAAGAAGGACAAGGGTTTGTCATTGAGTGGGGTCCACAAGAGAGGATACTGAGCCACGTGGCGATCTCTTGTTTCGTCACGCACTGTGGTTGGAACTCGACGATGGAGACGGTGGTGGCTGGTGTTCCGGTCGTGGCGTATCCGAGTTGGATTGATCAGCCGGTCAATGCGAGATTGCTTGTGGATGTTTTCGGAATCGGAGTTAGGATGATGAACGACGCCGGAGACGGCGAGCTTAAGGTCGCAGAGGTCGAGAAATGCATTGAGGCCGTGACGGAGGGATCCACCGCCGCGGATATGAGGAGGAGAGCGACGGAGCTGAAACATACAGCGATATCGGCGATGGCTCCTGGTGGTTCATCGGCTCGGAATCTGGACTCGTTCATCGGCGATATCACAACAATCACCTGACTCGTTCGCCGATTGCATCATCTTTAAAACCGACAATAACCGGATTTCAATTTTGAATATTAAACCAGACGCTTATCTTCGTAACTGTTGCATATGCTTTACAATTGTTATTTTAAACCGGCGATAACCGGAATTTAATTTCAATAATTGAACCAGACACTTATCAAATCGATCAGAAGAAAATGATCTTTATCTTGCTTCTGAGATTTTCAATTGGGAGAAAACCTGAGTCTCCGATGAATCTGTACCTCCATTGCTGCTCTTCACTCGATTCGTCTGTACAATCGAGTTGGAGCTAAACGAATCACTCACCATTAACCTCGGAATCACCAACGAGCTACCGTCACCACCGCCGGAGATCGTCGCGGCGCTATCTTCGTGTGGTTCTCTGTGAATCGTCATCATCTGAAGCTGTAAAACGTATTCCAGATCCCAGATCACATCCGCCATGCTCGGCCTCTCTTCTCCGTACTCTTTCAAACACTTCTCAGCGATTTCCATGAATTTATTCAATGAACTCGGTTTGATCTGACCTATCAATTTCGGATCTAAGATCTCATAGAGTATTCCTTTTGATTTGCAGAACATCGCCCATTCCGCTAGATTCACTTCCTCGTGAGGAAGATGACGATCGAGAGCCGGTCTCGCGCATAAAACCTCGAGAAGAACAACTCCGAACGCGTACACATCTGATTTCTCCGTTAAGACGTGTGATTGCAGATACTCCGGATCGAGGTAACCGAACGTTCCTTTGATGTTAGTGCTGATAATGTTCTGATCTTGATTACTAACAGCGAGTTTCGAGAGCCCGAAATCCGCAACTTTAGCTACATTGTTCTCGTCTAGTAATATGTTTGTTGATTTCACGTCTCTGTGAATGATTGCTCCTTCTGAGCCACTGTGGAGGTAATGCAATCCTCTTGCTGCTCCAATGCATATCTCCAGTCTTTGTTTCCATGTCAATGAAGGCAAATCCGAGCCGTATAGATGATCCTTTAGTGTACCTTTCTCCATAAACTCGTAGACAAGGATCATCTCTGAATTCTCGTCGCAGTAACCTGTTAGCGAAACGAGATGCCTGTGACGGATTCTTGATAGGACTTGAATCTCTGTTTGAAACTCCAATATCCCTTGTCCTGAACCAGTCTTGCCTCTCTTGATTGCTGCTTTGCTTCCATCTGGAAGAATAGCTTTGTAAACATCTCCAAAACCGCCTGTTCCAATCAACCACTGCTCGTCGAAATTTTTTGTAGCTCTCAGAATGTCTGTGAAGGGAATCGTCAAGCCTAAGTGTAGGTTGCGTAATGGGGAATTGTAGACCGGATCGAAAGGTCTATTGTCGGAACTTCCACCACCTCTATGCAATGGCACAGGAGACCATGCTGTGACCTCAGCGTCTGACGTCTTCATCTTTTTCTTCTTCGATCTCCTCCGCATCAAGCAAACCACAAACAATAAAATCAAGACCAGAACTGTTGCAGCAGCAATAGAACCTGCAATGATGTAAACCCGGAAACTACTTTTATCTGATGAATCGGAACTAGATTTGTTCAAAAACTCCATCACCTCCAGTCCGTTCAGAAAACCAGCATCCTTATCCATCTCCTTAGTACCTATACTAACATTCAAGAGTCCAGAACCATCAGAGACTTTCACGACATCGATATAAAACGGAGTCACTAACGCAAGCTGAGCCGAAGGCTTTACATCTTGTCGCCATTGTCCGTTTACATAGAGATAGAAAGCGGAATCAGGGTTTTGTGATTGGCTCTTGATATCACAGAAGTGAACCCGGATGAAGTGTCTAGAGTTACTTTTGACCTTAAAAGACCAAGTAACATTCATCAACATACCCCCCGCCCCAGTGCTCGAGCTACGGTTCATTGTTTTAGCCGTCTGGTAAACGAAATCAGGTGCGGTGAATTCCGTCGCTGACACTGATGACTCGTAGTTAGGCCTTTGTGTTGAGTTAATGTTTATCGCAGAATCTTTTCGGTAGAGAAAGTCATTGTCTAGTGACCAAGTTCTTCCCAATGTGTCGTTTTCTGGTGTGATTTTCTGGCCGCCTATGTTTAATCTGTAAACCGTACGCAGATTCTTGTCGGAGTCTGGATGAATTTCGAGGTCATTACGAGCAGAGAAGACTTCAATGGCGTTGATGAGAGCTAACGACGAAGGACCGGGCACAAATCGAATTTCGAATTCCCGCGAATTGATCATCAGGAGAAACTCCTCAACTCGGGGAGTCTCATTGAAATTCTGAACGGAGAAACTTTTAAAGTGATGACTAGAACCAGAAGTAGCAGAGACAGTGAACCGAGCAGTTAAAAGCTCTGTCCGAGAAGAGATAGCAAAGAAATGGAGACGCACGAAGTATAAACCAGCAGAATCGAGTCGGAAATTGTAAGAAGAAGGGCGCCTGAAGATCCTAACCGTCTGATAGATTCCTGATGCAGATTGGTCGTTGCTAACTTCAGTTCCTTTATTGGTGAAGGAAACAGAGTTATCACCGGAGATCATATCTCCAACGAAGGTCCGACGACCATAAACGACGTTAGAATCCGAGCCACAGTTGACGTAAAACTTCTCGGGACGAGAATATGTAGAAGTAGCAGAAAGAGCGAGCTGAGGAAGAAGAACAATAGACACCATCGTCACAAGAAGAGAGGCAGATCGATAGGAATCTCGAAAAGAGAGATTCACCATAGCTTTGACGGAAAGAGAGTGAATAGTGAAAGTCAAGTATCTGAGATCAATAGATAAAGGAAAATGT